AAAAAAAAAAAAAAAAAAAAAAAAAAAAAAAAAAAAAAAAGAAGACAAAAAAAAGGATACAAATAAGAAACGCATAAAGACCACTAATTTCTCAGCGGGCTGTGGGGATGGCACCCTTGTCGCGTTTCTGTAAAGACTTGCAGAATGAGGAGAAAGCCCCTTTCAGTTCATTTGGGAGCGGAAATTGGAGAGGAAGTGCCATTGGAGGATGGATATCGTGGCGCTGACTTTTCGTTCTTGCAGAGAATGGATGTGCCAGAGCTGGCTGCTGCTTATTAAGGCCTTCAATGATAAATGAGAATGCTCCAAAGGTAAGGCAGCTCTGCAGAAGGGCCTGGGGTGCACCTGCAAAATAAGAGTTGAAGAATTTGCTCGATAAATGTACTTTCAATCCGAGAACTTGCCATAAACTGTGTACACTTGATAAGTAAGATGTCCATGAATTCCATTAATAAAATATTTACAGGCACATACAAGCATGAAAAAGAGCAATTACACAAAATCAATTCAAACACGCTTCCAAGGACTGAAAACAGAATTCATATAACCTATTTTTATAAATGTTCCTGATGAATATATAAACAACAATGACGCTTTCTAGCGAAGATGATACTTACCCGGAAAACTGAGAGCAAGACCTGTGCAACATCCAGCTACTCCAGCATTAATAACTGAATAGGAAGAAAGATTGATCATTATAATTTTAAAAGACATGCAATGTTGAGCACCAATTCTACAGTAAAATACAGTACCATCGTCCTTTCCTCGAATCCTCTTCAAAATGCAGACAACCAAACTATGAACTCCAGACAAAACTGCAAACGTCTGAAGAGGGAAAAAATGATAAAGAGAATCTCAATATAAGCCAATTAAAGAATTCAACTCCAATACTTGATCAAATACTATCAGCCAATTAAGGAATTCAACTCCACTACTTGTTCAAAATACTTTAAAGCTCCTTTGGTAGGAGGGGAAGAGTGGAAAAAGTGCTAGGAGTTGAGGACTAGTGGAAGGCTTTTACGAACTATGGTTGTTTGATAAGAGGGAATAGAGGAGAGAATTAAATGAGGGATTTCAAAGTTAAAGAACCTAAATTTTAACCTATCCCAATATGGAGATATTAGAGGGGGGAATCCAAAGCAAACACAAATAAGACAAAGATTCCCCTTTCCTCTCCATTTTCTTCAATTAGGTTATACTTTATTTCCTTCCTATTTTCTTCCCTTCTTACCAAACACATAAACAAGGATGACAAATGGGATTCTTCGTACCTTGGCAGAGGATCCTGCCTCTGAAAATGATCCTTTAAAGCCCTTTTTCTT